AAGGAACCTACAATCTAGCCAGCTGCAAGTTGATCGAAACGACAACCTGACCGCGCAGGAGGAGGCGGATTGGCGTTCCGCGACGACAAATCTTGCCGATGGCCGTCCATGTCGCTCATGGCCACCGCGGCTTCCCTCGTTCGGCTATCCCCGGACCTGGTGCTCCAGAGGTCCATGGCGGGGGCCGTTTCCATGTGGGCCATGGTCCGCAGCGCCTGCGACCGGCTGTGGGCCGCCGTAAACTTCTGCGGCGACAGGGTGTCGCTGATGGCCATGCAGGTGGGCAGTGTTCACGGGTGGAAATTTGGAGTCAAATTGGGTAGCAAGCGACATCTTTAAGGGTGATGCTTACTACCCAATAGTCCGTATTCTTATATGCTATGTACGACCCAATCTACCCAATTCTAGTTTTTCATACTACATACTACCCAATGCCACATACATTTAACAGTAATGCAAGTTTGCGGCTGTTATTTGGCACAAATTGGTGCGATCACATATATTGTTACAGGATCAAAGCGGCTGCAAAATCGATGCCTTCCGCCAGCGAAGGTGCGGTTTAGACCTCAAGTGTTTAAAAATGAGACCAAACCGATTTCTCCAAATTTAGAGAGATCGATTCCGTCTCATTTTGCACAATTTGAACCCTGTCAGGAACTGTTCAATTTTCGGAAATTTTTGCCAGTGTTTGAGCTACTGGTTTGGGGAAGGAAACGACGCCAGCCGGGACAGTCAATGCGTATTCGCTGACGAAATGCACTTCGACAAGCCAAGCTATCCCGAAAGAAGGCCAAAATGCAAATTCGGTGACAACGCCTGCCATTCAATTTGGAGTCTGAACGGCGTTGAGGGAATCAAAATAGCAAAAACTGCGCGTTGTTCCTTGTGCTATTTTTGCGGTAGCATTTGGCAAGTTTTTGGTGCATAGTGTGGGTAGTATCCTTTAATGCAGCAATTCTGCTTTCCAGGGTAGCTTGCGAGGAATCTGAAGTAGCACGCGAAGAGAAACTGGAGTTCTGAATGGATCAATTGGCGAATCCACTCTCTTTTTGTCAATACACATCCATCCAACTGCTGTATCTATCTGTGAAATAATACGAATGAGGATACGTATCAGAACCTCATTTGTACCTCATTTGCATCTCACATGATTCCATGTACGTGCTTCATATGTGTACCTCATATGTGCCTCATTTTCGCCTCATGTGCATATGATTCATTTTGTGATTGACTGAGTCATTGGCCGATCTGTGGGCATGCAGGATTTGCACGTGGTGCTGTCCGCCGCGCTGAAGCTGGCCTCGGGATCCGAGAAACTCTCTGGCGCCATGAACACTGCGAGTCTTCTGGATCAGGCAAGCAAGTAAAGTAGGAAGGCAGCTGCCTCTCCAGCAAGTGCATTGGCATCTGCACTTAACCCTAAACATGTTAACAAAGGCATGCAGGGTCGAGGGGTGGCGAAGCCTCAACGGGGACCCCAGGCTCGGGTCCACGGCAGCGGTTTAAAGCCGAGCAAAGGGACAACATAACTCCGTACCTTGTGTCCAGTCCCTTCATCACTGTGCTTAATGCAATTCTTAATGAATCATCACTTCTTATGCGTCCAGCTTTTAGTAATATTCAATCAGTTCTAGTTATACCAGTGAAACTAGAACTAGAATAGTTGGTTGGTAGTCGTCATCAATTGAATGGCCAGCAAGACAAATTTCTACATTTTGTTTGTGCACTTCCGCCACATTGAGCGAGATTGTACCTTACGTCATCAGCGTGACATGGCGTCAGAAGGGAACCATTACGTGAAACTTGTTTCAATGTTTGATCATTGAGATCTGCGCCAAATGTCATAGGAATAATTTTGCAAAAGAAGCTGCAAACTTATGCTTTTGTAATAACGTAGTTCTGCAGATTCTACTACTCTGACTGCTCTAGAATCATAAGTCGAGCAATAAGAAAATGCCTGCCAGTAGCAAATAAAAACAAAGCAACCAAATAACAACATATGAAACAAAAAACAGTGACAAAAAAAGGAAATAAGTAATCAAATCAATCAACAGTCAATCAATAAAAAGAATATTTGTTCGATTGTATTTGGCGAAGCCCCATCATGAAAGTGCGGCGCTCGGTTGAAGCAACGATTCGCAATTTGAGCAAGCTGGGTGAGAACATCGCAGTCAACACATGTACATAAAAGAACCACATCGCAAACATTCAGTCAGAAACAGACATTATGGCCACCTTGTGAATTCAAATCAATTTTGCGGCATGATGTGCACAAGGTGCGATGTTCGGGAGCGGCGACGGTTCGCAATTTGAGCGATCTGGAACAGGGCGATGACCGAGATATGCTGTCCATAGCAGACAACACGACTGTGGTGCTGCGAGCAAAGGAGCTCCACAGATGGCATGAGTCAAAGGAGTACAGGTGGTCAAACATATTTCTGTGTACTCTACATGAATCTATTTCGTGTGTTGTTTCCATATTCTGCATGACTGAATTTATTGTGACTGAATTATTCTGAATTTATGACTGAATTTATGACTGAATTATTCTCAATGAATAGATAGCAGTTCTGCATCCATAATGTAACGTCGACGTGCGCTGTGGCAGGGAGCAGGCAGTCTTGTTGCTGTTTGAATTTCTTTTGGTCTTCTGAATGTACGTTGATGACGATTAAATGAATATACATTGATGTTTGATTTGATGTGCGTTGATGTATGTACATCGATGTGCGATTTGCTGAGGTTAGTTGAGTTGCACATTTCGTACGCCCACAACTTGCAGTGCTTCACACGCAATTAGGATACTGGCTGAAATGCGGCATTAGCCATTGGTCAAGAACTATGTGATGTGCTACACGAACAACTTTTTAACTATGTACTTTGAATGCCCTTGTAATGCAAGCTGTGACAGATGTTTCCAATACATTCCCTAAAATAAGAAGATCTGTATTGTTTGTATGTCTTCGTCCGAAAAGATATTACTCAGAATTTGCGCCCAAATGATGTGTTCAGACCGGAGACAACAATTGCATTCACCATGCTGTGTTTTGTCATTTGTGACAAATGTAGTCCACAGATTTTGATGATGATGCTGTCTAGGTTGCATGCCATATAAGTTGCTGCTGAACATCGCTGATGCTCTAAGTGCGCTGCTTGACAACAAGTGTCCAGCAAGGCCATTATTTAGGCATTTGGATTGCGAACGTTCGATGTCTATTGACGGAACTGCGTTCGACTTGCACACAGGAATATGCTCCTCGACAAACCCCTCCTTCGAAGAGTCCTCGATGCTTGAGTCTGGAAAGTTCCATAACAATGCTGGTCCCCGGCAGTGTTCCACGCAACGAGCCAGCGAAGGACAGACTGTACATCTGTTTCATTTGGGCACGCACCAATACATCACTGTCCAGTCGTTTCGCATTCAATGTGACAACCATATATACACACAGTGTGTATAACATATGCGTATCGTCAGTACCGGTGGAAGGACTCAGCGTTGCTCTATGCGGCAATGGCATCCGAAGATACCAGACATACTTGTCTTGCACATGCACAAGGCGTGGAGCAAAATAGATGATAAATCAATAAGGCAAATGGATGGCAAATGCACTGTGACGTGTCCGCAGCAGACTGGAATGAGCAGGTTTTGGGGTTGATGAACAAGGCGCATCGGGCAGCCGACGAACAGTGACTGAACAGTCGAAAAGACATGTCCATGTCATGTCATGGATTTCTGTGACGTCGGGAAACGAGTTGCATTTGGAAGGGCCGCCTTCGATCACGTTGAGCACAAGGGTTGGTTGGCGAACGATAGACTTCCATGATGACGCGTTTGAGCTGCGGATATCAGCCGATTCAACAGGGGACAGATTGTGTGAACTCCGTGGATTTCGGCCGTGGGGGCGATTCCTGAAAATGCATGAGTCGAAATTGTTAACGAGGTCATCAGCAAGGCGCCGATCACTGATCCTGAATGCAGCTGGGTGCTTGTGCTCCAAGAGTGCGCTTGCAGAAGTCACTTTGTTGCATTCCTCCAAAGTGGCTGGTCGCAGCTGCTGCATCTACCAGAAGGCGTCGGGCATGTGGTCACAACCAGATTGTCCAAATGAGCCAAAATGAATCTGTGGCCCCAGCCCACATTTTGAAATCGAGTTCACAGTGTGGAACTGCGCCTCTTGCAAAATGAGGGTGCTCAAAACATCTTTCTGGGTGAGCAAGGCAAACTGTTGTGGCTTGTGGCTCCAGGCAAGCCCACTGATCATTTTGAATTGAACATTAAATGTTCATAATCAAATTTTGACTCGCATGACTAGTAATGTACGCCATTACTTCTGAACGAAGTAGGACCAGGGGGGGTCACATTGTTGACCACCACATTCAACCCACCAAATACCTCCTTTCGAGCTTTGCACAAGCATGCAAGCAACCTTCCAGTTCCTGCCATGAACATAGGGGCTTATGGTGTTCACAATACTGCAGAGTGCTGCAGGCACCTTGATCTTTTCCACAGAACTGTGTCATATATGACATCGGCTACATACATACCATACTGATATCCGTGTCAAAAGCCCCCACCCTCACCCCCTCTTTTCTGTCCATCCACCAAGAGAAGACCAGAACGATCGAATGTAGTCTTATGGGGCAGGTGAACAACGGCACACGTGTATCTGCGCAAGTGTGATCATCAGAGAGTATCAGTTTCCTGGCAGCCCACACTGGGCGCTTGTCAGAGAGCACCCAAGCGCAAACAGGTCATCAGAGAACAAGCTCAGCAAGCACAACTCAGGAGCCCCACCAACAGAAAGCCTGGCCAAACCTGGATTAAACATGAAAGCTTTGCTTTTTGCAACAGGTGTGCAGACACCCAATGATGCACATTTTTGGAAAGAAATATGGAAATTGAATTCAATTTCCATTTCATTTTCTCGATTTCTGTGCTCAAACAGAAAGACGCCCAAAACGAAAAGCAGGCTCTCGGCGAGTCCCAGCGGTTGGGGCCGTCACCGCGCCGCCTCCAGCTGCTCCTGCACGTGGGCCACGAGGCCCAGCGCGTCGTTCGCCACGTTGACGAACCTGAATCCTTGTCGAATCCTCTCCGCCGCATTGACCCCGTCCTTGCAATAAATACCACACGCCACACCGTGCCTCTCCCCCGCCTCCAGCACCTCCTCCAGCGCCTTCACAAGCCTGGGGTCCCCCCCGTCGGGGCTGGGCTCCTCCAACCCCAGTGAGATCGAAAGATCTATGGGCCCAACCAACGCCACGTCGATCCCCTCCACCGACAGAATCTCATCCAAATTCCTCATCGCCTCCGCGCTCTCAATCTGCACGATCACGAGCGTTGAGTCGTTGACGGATTTCACGTGCTCGACCGTGTCCCCGTCGCCAAGGCCCAGAGGCGCCCACGGGGAGCCGAAGCTGCGGACGCCGGCCGGCGGCAGCTTGCAAGCCTGCACGGCATCCCGAGCCTGGGACGCATCATTCACCATCGGCACCACCACGCCCATCGCCCCCGCGTCGAACGCGCGCTTGACGTGCGGCGCCGTGCCAATCGGCACTCGAACGATCGGCACGGGGCCTCCGGGGCGATCGATCAACGATGCAGTGATTCGGTGCATCGAGTGGAGGTCGATCGGCCCGTGCTCCATGTCGATGACCACCCAGTCCAGGCCCGGGATGCGGGCGAGCAGGCGGGCGGCCTCCGGGGAGGGCAGCATGCCCCACAGCCCGCGCGCCGGCTCGCCTGCCAGCAGCTTGGCCTTGACCCGATTGGCGGCAGGAGGGCCTGCCGATGCATGGGACGCCGCGGGGCGCAGCAGGCTGCGCCCAGCTGCAACGCACTGCCCGCCTCGGCGGATGCACGACAGCATTCCTCCGCGTCCCTAACCCCCGTCCTGTTTCCTTCACCTTTTCTGTTCCGACTGTTCCTGCACTTTCT